ATCTTGAAGTGAAACTTACGCAAGTTCAAATGTGACAACGATATTAAACCATCAATCGCATCATGCACGAGATTATTACCCTATAAATAAAGAATATCAGAAAAAGAAAGATAAGAAAGAAAAAAAGACAAGAATGGAAAAAAAAAAGAGATAATTTTTATATAACAGTCTCTCTTTATTAAATTTCTAGAAATAGAAATTTGATAAAAAATAGAAATTGAAATTAAATTCTAATTTGGCAGTTACAACTAACAAAATTATTATTAATTTTTCGAATTTTAATTAAAAATTAATAAGATATTTAATATTAAAAATCCAAAACTTATGGAAAAAGACAATTATTCAAACTTTTATAAAAGAAATAGTTCCAAAAATTTATCGGGAATATATTTTATTGTTACTGTAATATGTTCCTGGAATAACGTCTGCCTAGCTGGCCTTCCCATTTAACTAAATCTTAATGAATAAATTATATTAAGGAACTTCCCTGTTGAAGCAAACAGTAATATTCGTATCTAAGTCGTTTGAAATTGCAAAATTACACTACCTAAGTTCCTTAAGGATTGCAGCGCAAAAATCGAAATTGCTTCGAAACAGTAGCGCATAAATCGAAAATATATTTTGCATAGTTAATATAAATAAGTCAGCGTAATTTTGCAATTTTATACGATTTAGGGATGAATATGAAAGCGCATAAATAGTGCAAATCCTGTATATTTGATTTTCTAAGTTGGTTGTTATTAATACGTGAAGGGGCTGACAGCCTCCTCAACCCCTCCATAAAAAAATTTTTTTAGCTAAACGAAATGAGCGTAAACATTTTTTTTACGAATTTTGAGAGGGCATAAATAGCACATTATTATATAATTTATTCATTAAGATTTGATTAAGGGGAGGGGGAACTAGGCGGACGTTCTGGAATATATTATTTGTATCATGATTTTCGAATCCTTGATTTTAAATGTATAAGCAATTCGTAAGACATTATTTTACATTTATCTTGTTTATTTTTTATATTATCGATATATTATTAATCTGTGATAAATTTTGAATTAAATTTTTCTCTTTTTGTTAGGTATATATTGCTTGAATTTTGATTTTTAGCGGATAGCTACTTCTTAATGTAGATCTACACTATGACGTGACTACTGAATAATAGAAAAAGAATTAAATGAAAGAAAGCTTATCGTTAGAATTAATTGCGATTTCATACAAGGATAATTTTTAATTTAAATATAAAATTAAAAATAATAAAATTATAAATTTCATATAAATAAGCGAGATATTAATAAATATAATATCATTGAACTTAAAGGAAAAAGAATTTAAATAATATATGAATGCATAATAGAAATTTTTTTCTCTAACGTTTTCGATATGTTTAAGAAAACTATGGAAAATTATAACAATATCTACTTTTAGACTTTATCCCTCTGGTTAATCAATCTTTAGTTAATAATCCCACAATGAATTACTGACGTAATTGTAAGGTCAAACGCTTGATCTCAGATAATGGAAGATCGTTTTCGAATAACGCAACCTCACGTATTGATACAATAATTGATTTCAATTTAGCGATATGCGACTACAAATGCAAGAGCTCCACGATTATAAATAGAATAGCGCAATACTTGCGCTTTTTGAGCAATCTTGCGTAATTTTTCTCGTAAAGTTGCTAATTGTAAAGTGCGTGGGGAAGCGCATGTAGAAAAAAAATGTTTCTTTTCTTCTGTTCGATAATTGGCAATGTTTCGTTTGATTAAAAGAATTGGAAAATACGTATTTTAAACAAGTGTTCTTATAATTAAAACATTAATACTTACATACCTTACAACATTTAAAGTCGATACAAGAGGTACAAGAATTGATTAGAAGAAGATATATATATTTTTACAATTATTGTGCATAAAGTCATAAATGATTTACTTTTATAGCGAATAACGTATGTGATTTTTAAAAGAATAAGACATCACAGAGAAGAATTAAAAAAGAAAGAAACACATGTGATAATTTTAGATAATTTATGCGTGGGCCAGGAGAACTGGTACAATTTAAATTGCAATGAGAATGTCGTTCGATGTCAATTGACTTAAGTTGGTTTGGTGAGTGGGCGTCGAAATTTATTCCTAGAAACACTTGCGTGAATTGAAGCAAATCAATCCGACGCGGCGTTTCACCGATCTTTCGCCTCCTATCTCATTTTCCTTCATTTGCTCTTCTTTTTGTTTGCTCTCTCTCGGCAACGTCTGGGAGAACGGTGTTAATTTAAGCGTGATAAGAGACGTACAAGGTACAAGTCGAATGTAATTGGTCGAGAAGTTTTGTAACATCGACTGAGAGAAAACAAAAGGAAAAAAAAAGCTCTCGTTTGTTCCGTGTGACGCAGAAAAGAGTGACTGTAATTACTGACATAATACGTGGAAGTTATGACAAAGCGTTCGCGTACATAGAGAGACATAATAAATATAAAGAGGATAATCTGATAAGGTATCTATAAAGTATCTATAGGTAAATGAGGAGATTGCTGTTTTTCAAAATGTTAATTTTTAGGCTTTGAGAAAATCTCAAAAATTTTATGAATTGATAATTTTGTTGTTTTTCTTAAATTATAAAGTAAACTTTATTATAACATTTCGAAATCGTTTTATTATAAAGAAATAAATTTGGAATTAAATCTTAGACTTAGAAAATTATAAACAACGAGAGAGAGAAACAGAGAGGTTGAATTTTATTGAGTAAATATATATCGATTGTAGATTTCTGTCAAAGAATTGATTTTTTTCAATAACAATCATAAAGTTATAGCATTAAAAAAAATTTAAAGTCGATAGCTAAACTTAGCCCACGAAATTCATGTAAGCGCGATTACGCTACCGATTATGCGGTGAGATATGACTCATATACTAAACTACCGGTGATAAACATCACGATGGTAAACATACTTGCCTGCCAATCCCTTTAAAATGAAGTGCTCGTTATTCTTCACTAACATCGTTAGCTTCATTGTAGTTGACAATGATTCGCGTATCGTACAAAAGGTTTCTCACTAGGATCAAATAGAATCGATTGCAGCGATTTAGACTGTGGGCACTCATTTAAAGTTGATTAAATAAAGCGAGATGAAGTTCTGATTCGCATAAGTCAATAAGAGTCGTCTTTTCGAAACAGCAATCTTTAAATAGCAAATATCTGGCGATCGCATATTTTCTACACAATTTATAGAGCCAAATATGAGAGAATCATTTATTTTAATTTTAACTTAGATCTTCTTCGACCTCTGTCATTGAAATAGATTTAATCACAATCTCTAAAATTGTGGTATAAATATATTAAAAATTATAAAATTAAAAAATTAAAAAAAATTTGTATTATTATCTCTGATACATTTTTATCTGTAAAAGTAAATATACAAGAATTCACGCTAAAAAGGGATGATAACGATGATATTGATAACACAAAATGTAGATTATAAATAAAAAAGATTGTCATAAATCTGAAACGGTGCTTCATATATTATGTCACTGCTGACGCGATTTCAAACTCGTGGAATATTATTCGAAGCTCTTCATGTACATACTCTATATAACGAAGACATACAATGTCTTAACATTCTTTTTCATATTTATCATGACACAATTACACGCACGAACACCTACTCGACTCTTATTCTTTGTACTAATCATTGATCAATTAATGATGCAATGGCAAATTTGATCTTCTTACATTGATCAAATGTAGCGTAGATCATAGCTTATTAACGTGAAATCTTATAAGACTTTTGTACTTTGTAATTCATACGAATCTTTGTTAATTGTAACACCCATAGACAGTCATTACGCACGACACGGCATTTACATGTCATACATATCATTAACCGATTACAATCTAATGACTCACGTTCATTGATTACTGCGCAAAAACTCAACAATTCTGTTTCTGTGAAATGATGAAAATTCTCAAGAAATTTATGTGAAATTTGCGCGAACTTTGTTCAAAAAAATCTTGAAAATAAAACTGATATCATTCTGTAACTTGAATATATAGAAAGAAATCTTATATTTTCATTATATAGTTTATTTTTCTTTGCCTATAAATGCAGGCTGACGTTGGCCTTTCTTTTAAGATTTCGAAATACGGTTTCGAATTCAAATATAAATTTAAAAATTTGAAATAAAGGATATACAAATTGATTTATCTTAAAATAATTTTTTGCCGCATGAAACAATATCGGACAATATTCTATAAAAACGGCAAAATTATTTGTTGAAACATAAAACTTTTGTGACGTCTACATATGACTTTTATATAGATGCTGTATTTGTTGCATTTCCGTTGATTATAGTTTGTAGCTCAATTAACTCACGTCATAATCTTTTTTGGCGTAACCCTCACCTCGACATTAGTCCCACGACTCGTCCTTCGGTTATTTCCGTGAAAATTTGGCAGAGTATCTGCTAATGCATATTAGCAGTTATAGGACATGCTTTTGCGAATATTTCAAAAGTGTTAATTAACAATGCCACAATGTCTTCATTCTAATTATTACAATAATATTTAGACGGCACGTGTACTCTAGTGTTACAAAACATATAATATACATTACATAGTATACTGTTTTACATAACAGTGCATTATATAAGACAAAATACTTTTAATATTGTATATTTCTTAAATAATAATAGATTTTAATCCGGAATCGATTTTGCAAATGGAAATTTCTACGATTAAAATCTTTAGAATTTTAATTTAAAGCTTATTGTTAGTTACGCAAATATTTTTAACAAAAAGATACATAATTGCAATAAACAATATCCTATTATATTTTTAGAAACAATTTCTACAGAGAAACTTGAAACTTTCTAGTAATTAAAATTAGACGTGCAGATCTATTGTTAATGAATAAAGACATTGAGTATAATATAATATGAGATATTACATAACATATCGTCTGTATTATCTTTATTTATCGATAATTTAATAACGTTTCTTTATTCTTTCAGTCCGGTTTGGGAAACGTCACATGGTGACTTTCATGATATTTCTCGGTATGGCAAATGCCTACATAATGAGGACCAACATGTCTGTGGCTATCGTCGCGATGGTTAATCATACAGCTATCAAGAGCAACGATGAGGTGATAGAAATCGAGGATAAATGCGGAGAGTCGACCAATGAAACTGACGCTGCCGAACGCGTAAGTATACTTTTTTTTCTTTTTATTTAGAGATTGCGAGAATTTATGTGAAGGAATTAAAAAATGCCTTTGCCTTTGCAGAGCGCCGACGGACCATTTGTATGGGACAACAAGCAACAAGGCTATCTCTTAAGTTCATTCTTTTGGGGCTACGTTATAACGCAAATACCGTTCGGTATACTTGCCAAGCGTTATGGCGCCAAATACTTCCTCGGAATCGGCATGCTGATCAATTCGCTTTTTGGATTACTAGTCCCAGTATCCGCGAATTGGGGATATTGGCCGCTGATAATCGTCCGCTTCATTCAGGGTTTAGGAGAGGTAAGTAACATTTCGAAAATCCCTTTTACTATTATAACACGTAATAGTTTGATTGAGACTCGAGAAGAGCGAGCGAAGATGAGAATGTGTGATGTTTCGGGATCGGTTATCTGTTGTCCAAATATATATTTTGCAAACAACTTTCATTCGTTCGTAAGTATAAAGTTCACAAATTGACATTTAAAAAATTTGATAAACAGACATTTATTACATAATCATTATTATTTGCCTTTTATTTTAGTCCTAGTTTTCTACATTATTTATTATGCTGACAAACACTTTAATTAATAAGACAAGAATCTCTCTCTCTGTGTGTATACATTTGCAGAGAAAGATTTATATATTAGTTTTAGCATTAACATATAATAATATAATAATTAATAATATAAGTAATTATAGTCATAAGCTTAAAGGATTACTGATCCGTTTGAGTGTGAACGTTTTTTGATTGTACGGGTGTATTTCCTTCCCCCTAGGAATGGATTAATCCCTATTGCAGGGTCCAATTGTGCCTTGCACACATGCATTGCTGGCGAAATGGATACCACCTAACGAGCGGAGCAGGATGGGTGCCTTTGTCTATGCCGGTAAGCCCGTTCAATGCGATTTTTTTCTTCCTTTATGTAGCGATTTATCGCGTGTATCGAATCGAGAGCTAGTTCGCTACGCGAGAATCCTCCTCTCTGTCTCTGGGGCATTTTGATGCATCGAGTGTGTACGCGCGCTTCTTGCTGTGACGAGATTTGTGGACCGTGGACCGTGGGCCTTTTCAATTTCTTGAGTTATCGTCTTTTTTTAACCATGCACTCCCTCAAGGTTTTTTTTTTCTTGGTAAAAAGAGAAAGAGCATAAGGAGGATTGGACGCCCGATAATAATAATTAATCATATTTTTTTTTGCATTTTTCTCTCTCTTCACATCGATAGGTGCACAGTTTGGTACGATAATATCTATGCCGTTGAGCGGTTTGTTGGCCGATTGGCAATTAGTAGGCGGATGGCCGTCTATTTTCTACGTGTTTGGTGTTATTGGTACTCTCTGGTGCATAGCGTTCCTCATATGGGTTTATGAGGATCCGGAACAACATCCAAGTATCGCTGAAGACGAGAAGAAGTTCATACTCAGTTCTCTATGGGGTAGCGCTGGCATATCCGTGAGTTTCTTTTTATGTTTTTTTGCTTATGTTTACATAACATTTATCTCAATTTATTATGTAAATCGAATATTTATCTTAATCTATTGTTTTTTATAATAATAAATCTCTTCTAAATCATTTCATGCCGTGTAGATTATTTTGGTAACTCACGTTAAACATACCATTCAAACCGTTTGATATTTTAATTATAGAAAGAAACATATACTTGTAATTTTTTATATCTATCTTATGTGTAGCATAATTATAATGAAGATAATCGAACTTTATAGCCTATCTAAGCTTTGATTTTTTTCTAATTTTTTGCTAAGTTCAAAATTAAAAATTCAAAATTGATAGATTTAAAAAAAGAAATATTTCTGAACATTAAAAATATATGAGATATTTTCAAGTATTTACATAGATGCAATAAACATTTAAAGAAAAAGTAAGTATAAACTAAGGCTACTGCCTTAATATTATTTGTTGAATTTATTGTGTAATTATCCACAAATAGCGAGTAGGTCATATATTGGATCAGGTTATTTTATGATTTAATATTGGTATATATTAGGTTTTCTTTAACAATAATTTTTGTAATTTTTTAATTATTATAAAATACATTTTATTTAACAAATATAAATACAAATAAAAATATTGTAAATCATCGGTGACTCACACGGCACAATAGATAAATTACCTAGAATTGATACGGCACGGAGTATATATTAATAATAACAAAGTTGAGAGAACTAATATTCTTTCTTCTTTTAGTCGTCGCCTCCCGTACCATGGAAGTCCATTGCAACTTCGTTACCATTTTGGGCTATCTTAATGGCGCACATGGGTCAAAATTATGGATACGAAACGTTGATGACTCAACTTCCGACATTTATGAAACAGATTCTTCACTTCAGTATTAAAAAAGTGAGTTATTCATGAATAATAAATTCGAAATTTGGAGAGAAAGGAGTCTTCTCTGTATGAAACTCGTTTATCGTTTATCTTATATTTCAGAATGGTATTTATTCAGCACTTCCGTACTTTGCTATGTGGCTTTTCTCCATGTTTATCTCTCATGTCGCTGATTGGATGATCTCCTCGGGAAGATTTACTCATACTATAACTCGCAAGATCGTTAACAGCATCGGCCAATTTGCACCGGCCTTGGCATTGATAGCGGCTTCGTATACCGGTTGCAATGCCTGGTTGACAGTAACTATTATTACATTGGGAGTCGGTCTGAATGGTGCTATTTATTCCGGTTTTAAAGTAAATCACCTCGACATTTCTCCGAGATTTGCTGGGATTTTAATGTCCTTTACAAATTGTATCGCTAATCTCGCTGGACTTCTCGCACCAATTACTGTTGGAGAGGTGATTGCTAAATCGGTAAGAGTGTGTGTGTGTGTGTGTGTGTGTGTGTGTGTGTGTAATTGAAATTAAATACAATATTATTTATGTCATGTTAATATTTTCAGCCATCACAAGCAAAATGGAGAATTGTATTTATGATCTGCGCTGGCGTTTATATCTTTTGTGCGGCATTTTATGCAATTTTCGGTTCTGGTCAAAGGCAAGCATGGGACAATCCGGATAAAGATGACGACAAAAACGAAAAAAATCAATTAGATAGTGTAAAAATTGTGAACGAGACTCAACATTGACAAGTGAATATTTTACCTATAAGATCAGTGATGATATGAGGACACTGATGACGTGACGATTGTGTCCATTTGGTCATTTATGCATGTATTCATTCCCTCCCTTATTTAGCCATTCGAAACAAGCGACTACATTAAGACGTTTAAGTTAATCTCACAACTGTATATTTTTTATCGTAAAGATATAAATTTTTTCATAATAATTATGTCAATTCGCCCTGTAGATCTTCATACTTTTGTATTGGATTGCAAAAGTTGTACATCAATTGCTTTAATATCATATCATGTTTTGTGTGAAAGATAATTTGTATGTGTATAAGAAAGAAAGAGAGAGAGAGAGAGAGAGAAGAAAGGGAGAGATATATATGTAGAATATACTCACAACCAAGCTATTATAAGCTTCGGTTCGCGTCATTCGTTATATTTTATAATTTATCAATTTTTACATAATAATTTCGTGTATTATGTAGAATTAGAGAATCACACTTTAAGAACTGGCATGCTAGAGAAACGATGGAAGAGATGATTCTCAAAAGAAATATAAGAATGAAAACTATTACTTGTAGATAAGCGAATTTCTGAAAATGTCATTACACACAAATAAGTCAAAGCGGGTACGAGATTACAGAAATCTTTTACAAAATTATCTTAATTGTATATCAAAATTATCTAATTAAGAATATTAAAATTGAATTGTGTATATCGCTATTGCTTGAATATACAAATGAACATCAGTGTAAAAAAAACATGCTTTTTAGATACGACGTTAATTCATACTCATTTGTGGTATGCGGTATTGTTATTCTTGCGTATTATAAATTTTGATAGAATCAGTACATTGTATATCCCGATAAATGTAAATATCGATGTGCACAATGAGCTCTCCATTACTTTGGACATTTCTGCAGTCGTTTCATATTTAAATATAACTTAATCTCGGTCTTCCACTTTGCACAATACGTTGATTGTTATTTTTAGAAAATGGGATATATTTGCTAAGATTCGTATGATAGATTTGAATAGATTTACAATGATTATACCAGGGAAGAATGAATTAATATTTCCCAACGCTTATCTTCAAGATAGATTTCTTGTTTGTAACTTGACAAACCTGTGGCAGCAGTATTAGAGTAAAAATCCTCATCGTTCATCTTCTTTTAGTACATCACTTTTTATTGCAACTACTGCCATTTTGTATTGTATTGCATGGTAATCTATGTAAAAGAGATAATAATAACAACAAATCCTGTTTTGTTATGGGGCCAAGGAGAAGCTAAAGATTTTTACCTATAATGTCACGAACAGCACAGTGTATACAATACAACAATGGTGTTTATATATATTGTAGATATTTGCGCATAGCAACCCTTAGTTAAGTTATAGATATTAGATGAGTTATTGCTCGTAGTTATTTATAAAGTGTTTACAAAGAACAAGAAAAGATCCATTTTATCTCCATCTTATTAAAAAATAGAAATTGTCAATGAATGATCACATTTGTAGAATGCATTTTTTCCTTAATTGATAAGTTTTTCTTTTTTTAAACCGAATAATAACTGTGACGGCAGTGATTTCGTTTTCTGTATGGTCTCGAAAATCGAGGCTATTTATTTGTTGTAATCGACATTAGTGTAATAATCACTATCTGATGAAATACGTAATTGCGCGAAAACACTTGCAAGGATAAATTTGAAAAGAATTGAAATCGAATTGTTTAAAATAAAAATTAAAAGAATTATTAAATAACATGTATTAAAAATATTTGTTTGGCTTATTTACGTTAGTTTATTTATCTTGTAATTTTATACAAAAACTTTAAAAATAAATTTACCAACACGCGTTAATTGTAGAAGGAAATCGATACGAGTGTTCTGTGATCATGTATCTACAAGTGCCTTCGACAAGTTTGTTTTTTTTTATAAGTAAATGTAGTCTAAAATAAAATAAATTCTTGCATTACTCTAATAAAAAAATATCAAAATATTTGCGAACGTTATACAACAAAGTATTTGCGAACGTTAATACAGCAATTATAAACGTAAATCGATTTGAAAACAAATTTGATGATAACGAGGAAGTTATCCCAATGCTAAATGATCAAGTAATTTAAAGCAAAATTGTGCAAACACATTTTTTTATACAAATATTTATACATATTGTACATAGGACAATATACACACACACGATGCGATGTTACACCATTAAATTGTTTTTATTGTTGGGATTGTAAAACATATGTGATAATAGAACTGCAAGTAAATAAAATAAGAATTATAACATATTGTTGTTAGTTATTTATTATTACAATTTTATTAATATTTTTTTTATAAAAAATATTTATGTCTCTTTGATGAGGAAAATATTAATAGCATGTCGATTTAGTAGCAGATTCATTTCAGTATTACAGCAGCTTAGCAGCAACCATCTCATATTTTATCAGCACAAATTATTAAGTAGATTTGTGGAACAATTTTATTGGTAAATTTGCGGCAAAAATTAAATCAGTATTTTATTCTATTGTTTTTATATTTTTTAAATGAAATATTTTAGGGAATAATAATTAATCACGTAGTATTTATGTTTGAAAACATGTCAAATTATATGAAAATATATAATCACAGAAATGCCTACAAATTGCTGAAATATAATATCACAGAAATGCCTACATATTGCTGAAACGTTTCTACATTATTAGATTGTACCAACTAAAGCATCATTTGCATTCTGAAAATGTTTTTTAATTTCTGTAAAAAAAATATTATATAAATTCTCAGAAATAGGTAAAGTTATTTTAAATTAGGAGAATATGATCGAGAGTAAGCGATTGATATCAAGATTCAAGAATCATGATATAAAAAATTTCTAAGTTTGAAAATTTGAACTCTATGAAAGGTGATCAAAATATCAAAAAAAAAAAAATCAGATAAAGAGAATGTTCAAATTCAAAAATTTATTAAAGAATTTATTATATTGTTTACCAAAAATAATTTTTTTCAAACACAAGAAGTGAATATATTTTCGTTTATTCTCCTTTCTCATAACTCTTTTAGATTTTAAAGAGTCTTGGTTAATATCAAGGCCGTTAACTATCTCTTAAACACCAATCGTCTATTTATAAATATTAATGTATTACACGCAACATAAATGAAATATTTAATTCTTTATAATATAAATTCATGCCGAAACATTCTGCTTCTTACATTTTAAATTAATTTTGCTTATCATAAGATACTAAATTCAACATAAAGAGTATAGTTTGATTATTTAATTGAAAAGTATTGACCTAAATTATTTTATCAATATTATTTTGTACTAAATTTTTTGTGTTTCAAAAGAAATAAAATTATATTATATAAATAAATTTATATTATATAAATAAATCGAGACAATTCAATTTTAAATTTGAACTATTTAACCATTCATACATTTGTAGCGCGATAATTCTGATGTGACAGCTCGAAAATGAGTAGTTGCCAAATAAAAATATGTAAAAATGATCATCGAAAAAAAGAATTTAACGGTACATTTTTATCGCTTCTCAAAAGAGAAAGCGTTAATATTAAAGTGGAAAGAGGCTTGTGAAAAATTAATTTTTATAGCAAAAGTTAAAACCAAATTCATTATATTATATATTGTAAACAAATATTATTAAAAACACAAAATTAAGTAAAATAATCATTGCATGATGTCTAATTTAAATAACCGCAGCAACATGGCAGCGTATGTCACGTTCTCATTGGCTGTTAGAGATGCGCAAGAGTTGAGTTCCTTCCACCACTTAACTTACTCGTTCATTGTGGTTGTCAGATATGTCAGACATACCATATAAAACATTACAATCAGTTAAGTGATGAACTAATGCGTTGTTCAGCGGCGTAGTACATTCCTCAGGTATATTTGTTCGTCAGTCCGTCATATTTTTCAATTATCTTAATTTATGAACAAATATTGCAGGAAATCATCATTTTATTTGGTTGTCTGTATTTATTCATGGTTTTTAATTGTTAATTTTAGGTTAAGTGCACACATAAAAAAGTGATATCACCTGTTCAATCTTATTACTCATCGCGATGAGAAATTTAAAAGAACAAAATATTATTTTTAGACATTCATTTAATTATATGTCTGAGATCATTGTAAAGTAAATATATTATTTTGTTGAACTTGTAAAACTTTCGATTTTAAAAAGATTGACAACGCTGTATTCTCCAATTAATGATCCATAATTTTTTATAGCACTGATTTGCTGATATCTTTGTCATCTTTAATTTGTTATCGTTAACATTCATATTTTACGAAGACAAAACTAATTAAATTACTATTACAATGCAGAAAAAGCTATAAATTGAAACACAAAAATATCAATTATATTATTGAAGAAGATGAAAAAATATTTTAGACAATTTCACTCATAGATTTTATTATTATGCATTTTATATGATCCATTTATCTCTTTGTTCTTTATTATTATTTAAATTGAATTATTTATTATTGGATTATTTACATACATCAGATTGCATCATAAAATGCTTCAATACTTGTATCAAAGTAACTTATTCTATCAAAGTAATTTATTCTATCATTCTTAAGATACATAATTATTGTAGATTATTTGTTGGAATGTGAATTATGTGGATTCGAACGTTTGTCCACCTCGTCGCACTCATCTCGATAACCAAATGCAGCGATATAACACCTGCTGTGTTTGGGAATGAGCTGAATGACATGCCAGCGGCGTTTGGAGACTTCAATTCTGACGAGTTAACAGATGTGTTTATGCTACGCACATACAAAAAGCACCAGACAGTGGAAATATTCCTGGCGGCTGAGCAGGAACCACTGCTACGGCCCAAGCCAGACCTGAATTGTTCATTTAAAGATCATGTAACCAGTATAGTACCAGGTGATTTTGATGGCGATGTCTTCATGGACATCCTGGTGACGACGTTCAACCCTCATAAGAAGCTCACTTATGCGCATATACTGTGGGGTGGTAACGGCCACTTGAATTGCAGTAATGAATGGAATCCCTTTATAGAGATGCGTGATCAACCATTGGCATTGGACTACAATCAAGATATGATAATCGATCTCTTTGGGGTGGACAAAGATGGCAAAAGAATGTTCTGGATATTTAATGAGAATAGAACTACTCCAGATACCGTTGAGATGTGCAATCATAGTTCGAAGCAACTGGAACCTGTAAGAAATCCACATTCCAATGCCTTTCTGGATTGGAACGGTGACTTTTTGCCGGACCTCGTGGTAACCACGACGAAGTCCTTCGAAATATGGTATGGATCGGACATAGAAAAATTTAAATTTTCTCATGAGATAGATCTTCCATATAATATATCAGTCGATAAAAATTTCAAAGGAGAATTTGGACAGACTCTTTATCTGGATGTCGAGCTGAGCGGTAAGATGGCTCTTCTTTTACCATTGTGTTTTGATGAGGCCTGTACCAATTGTACGATAATGATGTACTTAAATGAATGGTACAATCTGCGAGTGAACTTCCGTGACCCCAATAACGTTTTATGGGGTTTCGTAAAGCCTAATGGTCATCGTTACACAGAGACTATTACTCTACGCGGCGGCGACTTTAACATGGATGGCTATCCAGATTTGCTAGCGACCCTGCAGTCTGCAAAACAGACGCAATCATTTTTATTGCAGAATGTGGCGTGCAATAATTGCGCTGGCTTCAATCGCACTTTCGATGTCAAGTGGCAGGCACTGAATCCGTTCTTTAATGAGACCGCGATGGCAGTGTTTTATGATTTTTATCAGGACGGCATTCTAGATGTGATCTTAGTCGAACATGACAAGACAAACGACGTCTATCGCACAGCGGCGTTCAAGAACAGTTTGGACTACGACGCGAACTTTGTTAAGGTGATGGTGCTCACTGGACGCACCAACAGCATGTATCCCATTTCGCCAGGTTCGCTCGGTAAAAAAAAGAGGACCTATGGCACCAATCTGCCGGGACCGTCAATTGCGTACAGAACCACCACGCAGGATGGTAGTCCTCGCAATGCAATCGCAGCGCAATTACCACAAAGTGCACATTTCTCGCTTAATTTGCCGTACACCACCTTCGGTTTAGGAAGAACACCCAATTTTGTGGATGCTCTCACGATAGGGGTACGTTAATGAAAATAGTTTGACTTTTAAAATTATACCATCAGTATACTATCATTACACTAATAAATTATAATCACAAACAAAACTATTGATTACATTAATGTTAATTAAAATTGAGACTAGAGAGTTCTGTTTTTGCTATATAAGCATATTATACTAAGGAACTTAATCAACTTTTTGTTTCTCAACAAATGATGGATATTTCTTGCAGGACTTTTTACGCTGAAAAAAAATATAAAAAATTCCATCACTCCATTTTCAAAAAATTCCATCACTCTTTAATTTTTAAAAACTCTGCTTTGCATTTCTTATGCAACAACGCAAATTTGCATTGAATTACAACTTTATTTCATAAAGTGAAAAAAAAACTGTAAATAGTTTTGCAAAAATAGTCTTGATTTTTCAAAATCTGTGAATAATGGGACTTTTTTAAGTTTATATTTTTTTTAGCAATTAAAAATATATAAGAATTATTCAGGTAGTGAGAAACTATTAGGTGTTGGAATTAATTCGTAGCGTTTTACAAGTGATGGGAAGTACTTTCATTAATGTATTTTTTAATGCTCATGTGAAATAAATAACATTCTTTCATTGTAAAACGCTACGAATTAATTCCAACACCTAATAGAAACCTTAAAATTTAGTGCAATTTAAGATATACATATATACAATTGATTATTAATCCATTAATTACTTACCATTTATGGTGTAACTCGATTTTACTAAAATTCCAAATGATATAGAATATTTTAAAAATATATATTTATTTTTCAGGTTGGCGGCAAATCACGAGAATGGCCGCAAATTATTCCTAATTCACAGATGGTCGTGATACCGAATCCAATTGCTGAACCATCGAGATGGAAGGCTCAGCTATTCGTTACGCCCAGCAAGTTAATTTTACTGAGTGCAGCAGCTTTATCTGGCACCTGCGCTTTGATTACGACTTTAATTCTCGGTTTGTATTGGAAGGAGAGGAGAGAAGACAAAATCGAGAAGCTCCAAGAAGCGCACAGATTTCACTTCGACGCGATGTAGAAAAATTAATATAATAAGAGGAAAAGGAGGGATAAGATCAATAATTAAAGCTTATTTAAGATATCGGTTTATTGATATAATAATTTAATAA